CGATTGAAGTATTTGTTTACGTAAATGGAATATGAAAGTTGTTGAAAGTATACGGAAAATTCAGTGAACCCGAATAGAAAAGATTATGCAAACTTGCAAACAATAATGTAAATGCTGATTTTAAGACATTTTACTTTGCCTTACTATTAGATCATTTCATTATGACTGCTGCATTGAATTTTTGTCATATTCTGATTGTTCTATGAGGATTATTTTGGAGAAAAAAATGAAAAAAATGATATGGAATTATTGAAGTAAGATAATTTTCAATTGAAGATATTCCTTACCATTCGTATATTTGGCATTCTGTTTGTTGTGGTTAGTCATATTACGCTCTATTCTTTATACGATCCTGTCACGACGACGTAAGAATAATAAAAATAACAGCAGTAATCATCATTCATTAACATCATTCTCATCCTATTACGCAACACTTTATGCCATACCAATACTCGCGTTAATTCATGCCATCTTCGTAAGTAATTCTTTATTTTTCTCCTATATATTTTCATTCGTAATTCATCGATCATCTCAGATGACTGTTTGATTTCATCAGAAGTCACCACCATATAATCTTATTATGACTGTTTCTTTGTTTTTCACGAAATTTTTTAACAATGTGCGATTTCATTAGTATTTTTATGAGTACATGCGATTGTCCGAGAGACGTCACCAAACAAAAGTATCAAATTGAAGCCTGAACTGGAGCAGTGATTGAATTACATATGACTGTGACAACTTTATAGACAATTTTATGTGTGACTGAAGCAAATGTGTGCAAATAATTGAGCAAATGAAGAAGCTGGCAATTTTCAGGCTGGCTTATTATATTATAGTTTTGGATGGGTAACGCTGTTGTGCAGTTTGGCGTTGAACGCTATTCATATGTCGATTGAGAAGGAGACAAGAATGCGACAGTTATGCGTGAAGATGCTATCAAAAACGAGAAATCTTATGATTTTATTCATTCATATGATACTGTTTGGTTATTCGTTGTTCACAATTGTATTGTACCTATCAACTTTGTCACTGTCAACGAGATCATCCATTCAAAATAATATAAACAATCATAACAGCAACAATTTCGATCCAACTTCATCCTATTCAGCTGGTGGTGATAATAGTAGTATCGTTTATCTGATTCTCGTCACGATTTTATTCGTTCCATTGCCGTCAATTTTTTATGTGCTTACTGTTGGCTTAACCAATCCAGCGCATGTACTCGATGCTTCATAGACTTCATTTTGTTTAAGTATTGTTTGATGCCAATGAAGTTATGAAAAGGATTTTTTTGTGTGCAAGAAGATAAAAGTTCTCGAAAATTTGACTGCTTTATGAGGGAATCCGAGCATTCAGTATAGGAATCGTTCGCATTTCCGTAGTGAGTGTTTGATTGATTTGCAAACTGTTGTTCGTTAATTTTAAGAAGAGTGATCAAAAAGTTGCTTTGTGTTGTAGGAAAAAGCTTACTGCTATATACATAAAAATAGAGCACGGACTTTATTGATAATATATATTATTTATTAGTAATTGTGAATGTTATTGATGTTTTCATTGAGTTTTCATGGTGATAATAAACGTTTTAAAAATCGCCTGTGTAAGCGAATGCAATTGCAACAATAGCGATTATGCTATGAACAGTTTATCTGATTGATATGTGATGAATTATCTGGTCAAGCAGGAACATTTGTTCAATTTATATTTACTGAAACCATTCAGATTTAAAATATTCACCCCAATTTTGCAGATGATCATAGTTGACAGTTGAAAATATTCACAGTATTTGAATATTTGCAATGATACTTAATATTTCAAAATATTTAAAATATTCACAATATATTCTGCAGATGGTAATAGTTTAAAATATAATTAATGATTTAACATTCGTGCATTTATTCACAGTATACGAAGAAAGCAATGTACATAATATTAATAATATCGCTAACAATTGTAACCTCACAAATTCGTGCTATTAACGCATCACCCGGTGATCAAAACGGTTTTTTCATAAAATGCATTTCTGAGTGTAGCTCACAAATTGGATGTCCACTGGCAACTAGTGGACGAATCGAATGGATATTTGAGCCGTGTTACAGGTTTGCTTTTATAATGCAATGCTTTCATATCCATGTACATTTTTACATCATCACATGCATATAAATGTGCCCCTAATGCTGGAAACTTCACAAATACAACCGATCAAATAATAAATATCCAATAGACTAACCATGAAATAGAACAATGAAGGCAGTAATAAAATGAAAGTACTCTTCTGCAGATGATCTGCTTTTAATAATTTGCCTATCGAGCCGATTTCAAAACGAATGGTCTGGATATGAGATAATCCTACTCACATCTATGCGATTTCCACTACACATGATATTTTACTTGCAGTTGTAAGTATGAGTGTATATGGGAAACAGTTAGATATTTCACTGAAGTTCTACACAAGCAANGCAAATTAGATGGCAAATATTTCAAATGTTCTCGATATTACCTTTATTATGATAGCTTTTAGGAGTTTGCCTCGGTGATATTCTCGTTGTTGAATCTTTATTCAACGATAAAATTGCACCAGTTCACGAATCTTTTACCGAATCAATTCAGAATGAAACGTATATGGCGCATTTATTCACTAATAAGTTGTCTCGTCTGGTCAGTAACTTATAAATCACTTTGTATTCCCATCAAATCGCATCGTTTCTGTCACATTTTTTTCCATTTCCATATGAAATTGAGTCATATTTTCATTCAATTCAAATCCATCCTCACTGATATATTTCCGTACACCTTCGGAAACACCCTGGATAAATGTTTAATGAATGTTAAAGGATCGCGTCAACAGTATTCCACTGGGCTGACTTTTGGTTAACCGAATATTTGGATTATTTTAGTGCGTTTGCACTAATTGTTTATGCGTTCTTCACGAGTTTATCGTTCACATTACCATTTCTGCAGAAAACAACTTATGGTCGATTTGTGTTAGTATTTTATATGCATCTCTCTATTTTATTCTAGGATTTCACTCGAATTCTCGAATCTATTTGTCTTTGCGTCACTGTCAGTGTTATCAGTTGTATTTGCATTGTAAAATATTTTCAGGCGGTTCGCTNATGCGATTTTCGAAGTTCCAGTTAAATTTTCATCGATGTCCTTCGTTTCCGTTTCTGAGGGTTTTCATCGGAAGTACAAGCGAAAGAAGCTAATGAAATGTCAATCCTTAAGACAGCGTATTCATTCAACTTGCCGACATACTAATGATCACAAAGAGGTTATGAACAACTTTGAAGGTACATCTCGATTATGGCTACAATATGCGTTGTTGTGTGGTGTTTTGGATATTGACAGCCACAATATATAGTTGCTGGATGGTACGTGAATGGCGTACACGAGAATTGTCAGCGGACAGAAGATCAATTTCTTATCTAGCAAAATTTATTGCCGGTGGTCTAGCATCCGCATTATTCGAGGTTTGCATTTACATATTGATCGATCATCAAGTGGTTTTTCAAAACTGGTTCTATTGTTATCATTATGATTTAATTACATTCTCATTTTTAATGTTATTACTAGATTTACTGTAGTTCATTATTATTGTAGGTGTTCGATTTTGCACCTATTCTTTGGCTGTTTGATGCGCACTCATTGTTCCATCTAGCCACAGTGCCGTTGCCTTATTATTTGATCAAGTTCTTAAGATTGGAATGTGAATATGAGATGAATTGGTTCGATAGACATATCAAAATCACATAACCTCTGATATTTAATTGATGTTGTTATGTTGTTGACGATTATTGATATCACATATCAGAATGTTTTCATCGCTATCATTTCCAGTTTTTACAATTATCGTTATTGGTAAAATTACTGCTTCATCGCCTTCGTAAATGATATTTGCGGGTGATTGTAAATGACAATTTCAATGAATAGGGTGGAGTCATGGACTAGGAGGCGGTTTTCAGCCCTATCATGATTTCAAGTCAATGAAAGTATATATGGGCTCAGCGATGATAATATAAGTTTTTACATTCTTTTCTGAATAATTCCTTTTATTTGAACAAAACAGTCTGTTATAGGTCTTTGTAATTTTAATGGAGCTAAAGCTTCACTCAAACCTGAAATGCTTCAATTTCGTTGTGTTTTATCCATTGCTCATGACTATCGTTATCATTATTGTTGCATTTATTATTGTGATTAACATTAGTATTATTAATATTACTAGAATAGTTCTCAAAAACGGTATATGTATGCATTTGTTCATATGTGTTTAGGTTCATTTTTTTGTGCATTTTTGTTGAATCAACGAATAATTTAATTATGAATTGAACCGTACCAATAAATTTAGAAATGATGACTCTTGGTTTGTTGCATTCCTTAGACGATTAGTTAATCATTTGAACGGCTGAATAATAGAACCAGAATTTTGCACAAGTGATTCGGTGAAATGTAATAGACAAATCAAGGTTATACGATGTAATTTATAGTTTTGACTTTTCGTGAATCGTTTTACACATTTTAGAGAAACGACATTTTCTGCGCTGTGAAGGTATTCGGAAAAATTATCAATAAAGGCCTCCCCAGGCACCAATGAAATGATCGCAAGATCGATCAATTGAGAGTACTGAGGGAGAGCCGGCTGAAGCGCATAACTCAAAATATTCAATATAAAAATATGAGTCCGCGATTGTCCAGTACTCTCAAAATTATCAGAATTTACATTACTGAAAAGGACTGTTCCATGTTGAGCTAAGAAATGTCATTTGTATACTGCATTAATACAATAAGATTGGGCAACGAAGAAATTCTTCAATATTGATCACAAAGCAGACGTATACTTATGCTCTCAAAAGGTTCTAATTACCGATCAAGCAAATCAAAAAATCATCAGCCAGAAGCACTGCGTTCAACANTATGCCACAAAATAATATTCGTACTGTTTCCCAGTGTCATTTGCCATCCAGAATCAATGAGACAACACCTAATATATCATAAAATGTTCACTTCCTTGTCTCGTCAAATTGAAACAATAAACGAGTTTAATTGAGGAAAGCATCGACTGTGCGAAGTACACAATTCGACTGCATTTCACTGACAAATTAATTCTGCGATTTGGAATAACTCGTTTGAAAAACTTGATTTCGCCTAATTCGTTCGTATTCAATGATTCAATGAAGTTAAATTTAATCAGTGTCTGTCCAACCGTTCAGTGAAGCTGATTTTTGTGCGTTCCTTCCGTGTACTCACTGTTAGTTGTATTTAATTAAACACCTATTTGTACTTACTGTATTCATTCAACATTCATTCCCACTCTTCTGCTACGTTTATTAAATCTTTTCTTAGTATCTCTTTGATAAGTCAACCATATTGCTTGTGAATATCTACGAATTTGAATTATATCAAAAAGCGCTTTGATAGATTATGTGCAAATGCACAATCAATGAGCCATTGATAGTCGATCTATTAAAATTGAAGTTGCCAAGTGAAATTCTCTTAATNGCAACAAAAAACAATGTTAAGTATTATATTGTTAGCAGTGACAGCTTTCTTGAGTATTGCAATCTATTGGAAGCGTTCTGTTGAATATGTCAAAAAGAAATGGCGTTTAATCAAACTGATGAACGCTCTACCTGGTCCAAGTTTGATCACCATCTTGAAGGAAGTCAGCAAATTCAGTTTGGACTCTGAAAGTTGGTCCTTTTTCCTCCAGTAATTGCATGATATCTCGGTAGATTATGTGTATCAGCGTTTAATCTCTGGCAGAGAGTCTTTGATATTTCGTGTTCATATTCATCACGGACTAATTTTCAACAGAACTGGAGTAATGAGAAAAATACTGCTGGCAACAATAGAAAGAAAATTAACGATAATGATGATTATTACGATAAAAGAGCAGAAACATGGGTCTATGTCCTCATATATTAGTATTACTTCACATTTGCCTGCATGACCACTTGAAATAATAAATTAGAGTCGGTACTTATAAATGACAGCAAGAAAGTATGCCAGTATAGCATGAATAAATCAGGTGTTCCAATGTGGACATATCAAAATATAACAATAATAATATTGGTAGTAATGAGAACATTACCATAAAATCTGAGATACAGAACTCGCGATAATTTCAGAGTTCACGTATCAAGCCGAAGCGTTAATGCGTAAGTATGCGTATGAGCATGATCATGGTATCACTTGCTTTTGGATTGGCCCATCACCGTTCATATTCTTAATGCGAGCGAAAAGCGCTAAGGTGTTTTATTCGCTGATTTCCAGCGGATTTCGATGGATTGAAATATTGTTATCTTGAATTTTATTGGTCTAAGATATGTTTTCTAGATCGATTTTGAATCTCATATCGATATCTCATGGTTCTGAATGATTGTTCAGGTCATATTGGAGAGTACGAAGCTTGTCGATAAACCCGAAGAATACGACACTTTCAAACGACTCACTGCAATTGGTTTGCTCGCATCGTTAGTTTTTAACTACTTGATATCATAAGCTATTTTGCACCTATTCCGCATTGACTCTATGCATTCTATTCATTTCACTACTCTCCTCACTACAAATCCGCAATATCACTTGAACCTTAACAATCATCTGATTAAAATTATTGCTATGGATTTTGCTCAGTCCATTTTACTCAATTGACTAATTGTGTAACTAGCTTAATGTTCCACTGAAATTCATTTTGCACTTAGCATTCATCGTTGATAAACTACTAGAAAATATTCAATGCAAACGACTAAATTTTAGTCCTATTGTTGATTGCATGAAAGAAATTGATCACTGGCGATCGCATTCATCTATCAACAGATCATGAGAAATAAATTTCTCTTGCAGGTCAGGTGATACGTGGTATAAATTTCGACGAATCTTAACACCAGCATTTCATTTCAAT